TATTTTATTGTAGAATTTTAACAAAAAATTCCGTTTATTTTAATTCTGTTCAGTTTTTCATATAGCACGTGGTCCATTAAACTATTAAGTTGACTTCATTCTAGCTGATTTTGTTTCTTTGTTGTTCTCTAGGGATAAAAACTCCTCTGCCCATGGGATATATTGCTGTAATATATATATTGCAGTTGTGTAAGAATGTCAAAGACAGCAGTGCCCATTACTGCAAGGACATTTAATATTTAGAGGTTAAAGCCTCACCTGTGTTTAATAGAAATTATTAGTTACGTGGATAGCAACAAACCACTACGGGTAAATTTGATGTTTACCATTATGTAAGAAATATTAAACTTAAACAGTCTATGCAGGAGCTCAAGTAAGTTGGTTGACTGGATAACATCTCGAGGGAAAATATCTCGTCAATCAATTTACAAGTGAAGTAAAAGGCAAGTATCCAGTGCCCTAACAAAAATGAACACACTGGTTTTGTCTTTGATTTGAATAAAGATGATTTAATTTTGTATGAAATGTTGTGCCCAGTCTGTATTGCTTAGCAATTTGACTTATGAATCCTCCAACAATAAAATGATCTTAATTAATAATTGTAAAGATTATCAATTCAACTAAGAATTGCACAAACCCAGATGTAGTTCTATTGAATAGGTTATCCATTCTTAACCAACACTGGTTGGGCACTTCATTAGTGAGGGGGATTACTTTCTTTGTTATAATGACATAAATTCAGGATTGAAAACTCTCCAAGATGTCAGAAGTTTATTGTTAAATTGTGGCCCAACTATTGCAGAAACTTCAACAGAACAGGAGACATTTAAGTTCATCCTGAACATACTTGATTCGATTGAAATTCAATGATTCTGTTTACCAAAGACGATGGTTGGAGACCGTGTCATGCTGTGTGATCAGACTTCTGAGAAAATTAATGTCCACCAATGAGAAAATGCAGAATTATGGGTTGGGCATAAGTTGTAGCATCGTTCAGGTGGACTCTGGAAGATATTTGTCCTTCGAAAAGAATAAAACTCTTGGGACGATAATGTTCTCATTGCAGCACTTGTAAAACTATTTGAATTGTTGAAATAACGCACACAGGATTTAGTGTTTCATAGGATTTTCCTCATATTTCTAGTCCACAATCTGCACTTAAAAGTGTGAAATCCTATTCATAAGAATGCATCACATTATTCCGGTAATTAAGTGCATACAGTTTAATCAATAAGCACTAGAGAAACTTTTAAGTTATGTAGTTTTTGAGACAGTGGTCGTCTACGTTTATGACAGTTGTTTTAGATAACCAAATATTCACCATTTTTAATTGTCTAGTCTGCTTTACTTAACAAGCATGTCCAATCATATGTTTTGTATTCAGTCACCAAGAGTTGACTAAAGTGGTTTTTCTGTGTCAAAGACATTTGGTTTCGATTGTAATCTCATACATTCTGATTACAGATATCTTTGAATAGACGATTACAGAAACTGTTTATGATAACAACGCTCGCATTTGAAGTACTTCTATTACCAAGTACATTTCAGAATTAGAAAATTTGTTGCTTTTATCCATTGTCTTGAAGGTTTAACATTTTTAGAGTTCAATTAAAAGTTTTTTAATTTTTTTCTGAAAAATCACTATATTAAAAATGTGTGTCTTTAATTTGTTTATGTTTGTAATCAGATGTTGTAATTGTTTTGTTACATATATGTGTTAAAACTCTTTGGATGTTACTGATAATCTCTGGAGAATGTTTATAGCGTCTAGTGTATGGTATTATATCTTGTGTTTAGTAATGTGTTCCTGACAATTGTTGAAGTATTTATGTAGTTGTTGTTACTTGACTAGTAAACCTAGGTGCTTGCTTGTCTTGTCTAGTAATAATAAGGTAAGTGCTAACTTTTTGTTTTACTGCAACTGGTAGGTTTCAGAGAATGTTTATATGCTTTGTTATATATATCTTATATGACTTTTACTTCTGCTTATTCTTACTTTAATATTATTTGGCAATGATCTTATAAACTGCTTAACATCTTCTCACGTTTTAGTAATGTTAAGTCGTTTAACAATTTTGATGTAATACGTCTGTTGAGCAACCTTAAGAACATCCAACACTTAAGAAAATGTTACACAGTATAGTAATTTGTAGTTGTTTGTGAAATTCGTAATAAGTTAACTATGATTTTAACTTTTGACAAAACTTTAAACGTCTTGATTTTAAAGACTAATTGACTAATTTTCATGCTAATTGAAATCGAGAATATATGTTTACTCACAACGTCTGACTTTTGCTATAGATTGTAATGCAATGCATAAAATGTTATTTACTTTTTATAGCAAGAATATTGATTGTTTTGTAGATTTTTTTAGAACAAGACTATAAATAATTAACAGTATGTATAATAACTTCTTTCTTTGAAATATCTTAAATTAAATTATTTCAGAGAAGAAACCAATAACCACAAGAAGACTTTGGACCAAAACAATGTCCGTGATTACATTGACTCCTTTCTGATAGAAATGAGGAACCGGCAAAAAATAAACAACTCGTCATCTTTCACAGGCAAGTTTAACGATTCTACTACACACACACAATATATATATATATATATAATACGTTATCTTTAGCAGACACCTACAACGTTTATACACCAGAAGATAAACATGCCATCTTTCTCACCAAGTAAAACATTTTGGCACCAAAAGATAAACAGTAAGTTATCTTTTTCAGAGAGGTATAACCTTTTGGTGACAGAATATGAATAAGAAAGGAAACCTATAAGGTTCTTACGAATGAAAAGTTGAATATTGTTACATTAAGTGATAGGTAACATGATGCCTTCCTTATGTAAAAATATTCTTTACATGTGCAAACTGTGGCAACTCTAAATCTGTGAATTAAGAAATTGTTTGCTACAGAACAATGTGTATTTCATTTACAAACATCTAATCTTTTGTAATTAATGTTGTGTATTAATTTGTTGTTTAATAGTTTGATACCCCCAACTAATATAAGTGTACTTTATCAATAGATTTTCATATTTTTGTAATGTTTGATGCTAGGAGATCATTCCTAAAAATAAGAAAATCACCTGTATATCTGAATGCATAATAATATAATAAATGTTGAATATTTTATAGCATTAGATTCGCTATAATACTAAAGACTTAGCTTTGTAATTATTATTATAAATATTGTAGTTCAGAATTGTAAGGTGTTAATATTATCTATCGTTCAACGTAGTATTATTTTCAT